CCATCAGCCACAGATGGGCTGGGCGCCAAGGTGAAGCTGGAGGAGAAGCAGCACCACCCGTGCCAGAAGTGCCCCCGGGTCTTCAACAACCGCTGGTACCTGGAGAAGCACATGAACGTGACTCACAGCCGCATGCAGATCTGCGACCAGTGCGGCAAGCGCTTCCTGCTGGAGAGTGAGCTGGTGCTGCACCGGCAGACGGACTGCGAGCGCAACATCCAGGTGGGCGCTGCTCGGTCCTGGGGGAGAGAACCGACGCGCACAGAGGCCCGGGCCTTGTGCCCTTGGCCAGAAGGGTGGGGTGGGAATGCAGGAAGCAGGCCCGGGCATGGCTGGAAGTGCCACCTTGTACAGCAGCGTCGCAGGCCACGTGCTACACCGAAGTCCATCAAAGGAGGGGCAGGGTCTACCCAGTGGGGGAGTCACCTCGTTCCCCACAAGCGTTGTGCAGAGCAGGGGCGGCCCAGCAGGAGAACCACCTGCATTCCGCTCCTCGGAGATGCCAGGAGGCAAGGGACTGGAGGAGACTTGGGAAGAGTGGAGGAGCTGGTTTGGCTCCCTGCTTTGGGCCAGTGAAGCACAGTGCCAGCCTGGTTCCTGGGGTGTCGGTGGCACAGGGCCAGCTGGGGCCCTCAGGGCCTTTACCCTTCTCTGGCCCAGGAGCAGAGGGAAAGGTGCAGGTGGGTGGGTGCTAATTGCCTGAACGAATTGCTCACCACCGCACCCCACGTTCCCTGGGAGGGCCCAGTCTCCTATCCCATACTGCACCTGTTTCCTGCTGTCTCCCCTAGGCTGCTCTCTGTTTCTGCCTGCGACACACCTGAAGGGGCAGAGCCCCATACTTTCGGCCTTGGTGCCCTGACCCAGTCTGTGCAGGCCAGGCCTGGCTCTGGCTCCCTGGGGTATCCTGCAGGGCCTGGCCGGACGAGGGGACTGCAGAAGCCTACACGCCCTCCCCCCACCCTGCTGTCCTCAGCCAGCCGCCCTGGAGCCGTCCTGGGGCTGTCTACATTGTCCACAGTGCCTGCCCCATGGACTTGTCTAGGGCGGGCTCTGTGCACCCTGTGTGGAGAAGCGAGGCGAGGCCAGGGAAAGAGCCAGAACCACCCGAGTCACCGTCCCCAGCTCTGTGGCAGTCAGGGGCCTCCGCAGCACCCTTAGGGAGACTGAGGCCAGAGCGAGGCAGTGGTTTCTTTGGGGTCACGTGGTCATCTTGCCCTGCAGTGTGTGACATGTGGGAAAGCCTTCAAGAAACTGTGGTCCCTTCACGAGCACAACAAGATCGTGCACGGCTACGCGGAGAAGAAGTTCTCCTGTGAGATCTGTGAGAAGAAGTTCTACACCATGGCACATGTGCGCAAGCACATGGTGGGTGAGTCGGGGCCAGGCAGCTGTGGGCGGTGCATGCAGGAGACAGATGGGAAGCTGTGTCCGGGGCAGCAAGGTCCCTTTGGGCTGGGGTGGAGGTGGGGGACTGGCCAGGCCCTGGGACCAGGGCAACACGCCTGAGCGAAGGTGGGCCTGCTCTGTGCCTCTGGTTCTCCCTTCCAGCCCTCAAGGCTGCAGGGTCACTCCAGGGTACAGGAGGCCCTGGGCAGATGCCCACACTACTGGTGGCCTGGTTGGTTGCCTGGTGTTCTATGCCTCCCCTTCCCCAGGCCAGGGCTCCACAGAGGGGTAGCCAGGCCGCCCCCCACTTGCTGGGAGGACAGCATCGCCCCTCCCCCTTCCGTATGAGCTGCTACCGGAACCATGCTGGGTACGCCAGGTCCCCTGCCCCAGGGTGGCAGGCTCTTGCCTGTCTTGCAGGCCTCCCCAGCCTCTGCGGAGCCTCCCAACCATAGGTGGGGGCGCAGCTGCTGCCGAACAGCTGAGCCCTCAGGGCTGTCTGCCACAGCAGCCCAGGAGCTGCACCAATGCAGGCCTGCACCCAGTGCAGGCTGTGTCCCTGGGCTTCCCCGATCGGGTCTGGGCCCCGGGTGTGCGGGCGGGCGCCGAGCAGCTCTGATGGCTGTGGTGCCCACCCGCAGCCCACACCAAGGACATGCCGTTCACCTGTGAGACCTGCGGCAAGTCCTTCAAGCGGAGTATGTCTCTCAAGGTGCACTCGCTGCAGCACTCCGGGGAGAAGCCCTTCCGCTGCGAGGTAAGCCCGCCCACCTGCCGGCAGGTGCCGAGGAGCTTGGGGGACTGAGGTGGGGACAGGAGGCCAGGAGCAGAAAGCCTCTGCCCCGGGACCTCTGCTGCCTGCGGCCTGTCCTGGGCCCCAACCCTGGCCCCTAATCCCCTCCCCCTGACCTCCAGCTCACTTGATGGAGCCCCCAACCCTAACCATCCGTGGCCTTAACCCCCATCCCTGTGCCTTCACTCCGGTCCTGACCCGACCCCAAACCCCCGACCCCAGAACTGCAGTGAGCGCTTCCAGTACAAGTACCAGCTGCGCTCCCACATGAGCATCCACATCGGCCACAAGCAGTTCATGTGCCAGTGGTGCGGCAAGGACTTCAACATGAAGCAGTACTTCGACGAGCACATGAAGACGCACACGGGTGAGTGCTGTGGCTGCCCACCCCTCCGCCTCCCCCTGCAGCCCTGGGGCGCGAGGCAAGAGCCCCACATGCCTCGCACCCCGCCCGCAGGCGAGAAGCCCTACATCTGCGAGATCTGCGGCAAGAGCTTCACCAGCCGGCCCAACATGAAGCGGCACCGGCGCACGCACACCGGCGAGAAGCCCTACCCGTGCGACGTGTGCGGCCAGCGCTTCCGCTTCTCCAACATGCTCAAGGCGCACAAGGAGAAGTGCTTCCGCGTGAGCCTGCCCGCCCCCACCTCCGCACAGCCCGGGGGGCTCGGGGGGCTCGGCGCGCCGCCCTTCCCCGCAGGGCCTGGCACGCACCACTGAGACCGCACCTCCGCCCCACTCCCGGAAGCCGCGACTCCTCTGTTTAATTTTTATTTTTGCAAGCCAAGGTAGAGGAAGGAGTCGGCAGCAGCCCTCCAGGTGAGGGGTGCTGTTGGCTGCAGGGTGGGGGAGACGGGCCCGGGGCAGACTTACCCACTTCCTGGTTGTAGCCCCACTGGAGGGGATGCGGGCCGGCTGGAGGGTGTGGGCACTGAGGCAGAGCTCACGTTGGACCCTGGGACTGCGGGGCCAGGAGTGGCCAGGGGCCAGGACTGCAGACCCAGCTCTGCGAGTGGGGCAATAGGGGCTGGCCCCCCAGGGGTTGGCCCGCTCCCTGACACTCCTGCCAGCTGGCGGAGAGCCGATGGGGGACTCCCCCAGTGCGGCCGGGCTGCGAAGGTGCACCTCAGGGGCAGGGCCCAGGGGAAGCTCAGGCCAGCCTTTTAGGGTTCCTCGGTGCTACAGTGGGGCGGGCCAGGCTGCCGGCTCACAGCACCTGGCCTTCACCAGCCACCCTGGCTGTACCCCACGCCAGGAGACGTGCAGTCTGTGTGTCTGCGCCTCAGCTCTCCAGCGCCCCCATCCGCCCGTCCCTCCTGGGCCTCCTCGGGGAGGGGCAGTGTCCGCGGCCCTGCCTGCCTGTGAGGGAACTGCATGTCCGGGACCCAGGGGCGGTGGAGTCCAGCCTGCGTCCAGGGCTGCGCCTGGAGGCCAGCACTAATAGGATAACCTCTTCTGTTGTCATTTAACGTCTTCATTCCTGCCTTGAAAATGAGCGAGGAGGTTCTATAAGCTACACGTCTCCTAGTTAAGCTCTTCCTACCGTGTTCATGCAGTTTTGTTTGTTATACTCTGCACCTTACACCCCGCCTCTGCCCCCCGCACCTTCCAAGCATGGCTGGTGTGGGAAGAGGCCTGGGCCTGGGGCCCAGAACCCCTCAGAACCCCTGGAGGCCTGCAGCACTGGGGCAGAGGGCTGGGGACATTTTAATCATCAATAAATGAAGCACTTTATTCTCTACAGATATGGGCAGGCCCAAGGTACCTGAGTGATTTGAAGACAAGTGCCAAGCTACACGGTGCTGGTGGTTTTCCAGGGTTGGGGTGGGATCTGGTGCCGGCAGCCTCCTGGCCTGGGTGCTCTGAAGCTGCAGACACATCCCTAGGTACCTGGAGAGAGGAAGGTGACCCTGTGGCCCCATGGCCCCTGATCCCAAAGCCGGGATTCCTGCATCCTCAGGCTCCAGGACAGGTCTTCCCGCCTTCTCCGCACCCCTTTTCTCCAGGCTTCTGTCCTCAGGGTCCCCTCCCCTCCTGCTATTTCAAACCTCGGCCTCAGTGCCTGCGGCTTTAGAGCTCTTTCCCCCAAAAGTCTGACCTCCCTTCATGGGCTGCAGGCAGCAACCCTGAGGCTTCCCCAGCCCATCCCCGGCACCAGGGTCTCCCCTGGGGGCTGGGCAGCCTGTGTGGGGTCCCAGGTCTGTCAGGACACACTTCAGCAAGCAGAGGCCAGGGTGGGTGTGGGGGCTGGGCTCCCGTTCCCCTGCACACCCCGAAAGGGGTCCAGGCCACTGGGCAGTCGGGACGGCCACTGAGTAGGCAGCCGCCCTCCTGGGAGGCTCTGTCCCTGGTGCGAATCTCACCTCCGGCTCCTTCCCAGCTGGGCCGCCCTGCTGGAAGCAATAATGGAGACTCACTGCACTGTGGGTGGGGTTGTTGGACGCTCTCACAATTCCTTTAAAGAAATTAGTGGGCACATTACTGGAGTGAGGGACACAGGCATCACACCTGCTTTCCAGAGCTGGGGCGAGGGGTGTGGTCGTCCTGTCCAGTCACGTGTGCCAGCCCTGGCCTGGAGTCTGGGCCAGCTGCCCTGGCTGGTGATGGGGCCTCCGGAGTATGGCCAGTCCGGCTTCCACGGGGCCCTGCACAACACCGAGAAGAGCAGAGGCCGGGCCCAGGTGAGGCGACCCTTGGTGTCTGGCCAGTGCGGGTGCCCGCTGCCCCAGGTTCGGGACAGCACAGTGTGAATGAGAAGAGGGAGGGAGTAAATGCCGCAGCAGTCCCGTCCCTTCGCCTCTTCACTGCCTCCTGCTGCCCTGAACACGGGCAGCGAGAAACCCAGTGGCTGGGGCTGGAGGCGTGCAGACCTCACAAGGACCCACGGGCATCAGCCCCTCCCATGAGCGGAGGGGGCTTCAGGGAGCCAGAAAGAGACCTCTTGGGCTGCCAGACTCAGCCCCGGTGGCAGTGCCCACAGGAGATCGGGGCTCCTGCGTGGGGGTTCCCACGTGCTCAGCACTGGGCTTTCCAGAGCTGTGGTTGGTGTGAGGTGGGTTGGGCTGGCACTGGGCTCGGCTGAGGCTTGGTCCCAGTGGCTTTGCTGGTGGCTCTGGGGCTCCGCTGCTGGAGGTGGGCCGCGTGACGTGATGCTCTGCCTGGAGTTTGCCCACCAAGCTCCACAGCAGGCCCCACCTCAGGAGGGTGTGGAAATGCACCCGACTGTGGCTCACAGTCCCGAGAGTCCTGGTGGGTGCTAGCCCGCTGGCCAGTGCCCGGCCCTGAGTCCACAGGGACCTGGCTGCCCACATGCAGGCTGGGCGCTGCCTGCAGAAGTCCCACAGGGCAGCCATGAGGAGCAAGCGTGGTGTCTCCAGGCTTTGTGCTGGCTGGGAGGAGCCTACTTGGCCTCCACAGCCTAGGCCCAGGAGGGTGGGAGAGGGTGGGAGAGGGTGGGCCCCCACCCCTGGCTGTCTTAGCTCCTTGCCCTCTCAGTGCAGCTAGAGAGAGGGCTCCAGAGAGCCCTGCACTCAGAGCTGTCCCCAGGCCACTGTCACCTCCACGTGGGACCCTGACAGCCACTCTGCACCCCACCAGCTTCTGACACCCCGAGAAGGAAAGCCAGTGCATGTGGGGGACAGGAGTCAAGCCAGGACTGGAACCCGGGTCTGCAGATCCCAAGGCCATGCTCCCTAATCACTGCGCAATGCCACACCCCTCCTTCACACAGCTCACAGCTGGGCACACTGTGACATTCAGAAACAGGCCTATTCAGTTGCAAACACAGAGCCACTACAGCTAACCCAAGGGGAAAGCAACTTAATGAGAAGGCGCTGATAAAACTTCAGGCAAACCCCAGAGACTCAAGATCCAGGCTCTGCAGCCAGGATCAACCTAAACGACCCTGCAGGGCCTGGCCCAGTGGTGTAGCTGCCAGGTAGCTAGCTGAGAACTAAGGGTGCAAAGCCTGAACCCAGGAAGCTCCCTCTGCTGTACCCCAAACTAACACCCTCTGCACCCCCACAGAGCACTGGAGTCTGAGTGGTGGCAGCTTCCCTGTGCTCCTCTTGTGTGGTACACCTGACTGACAGATCTGGCCCCACGTTACAACTGTCCGCTGTGACTGGCAGAACTCACTACTGCCCATCCTGGGCTGCTGGGTGCCACAGACTGTCCTGGACACCGGCCACCATCCAGGCCCAGACAGCACCGTGCTCTGGAGAACGACATTCCTCCCAGAAGTGAGGACGCACTGGTCCTCCCCCAAAGCATTGTCCACCCTGTGTCACTGTTTGGAATGATGTGCTGACCCTAAGCGTGACACCCCCCGCCCCAGACGCTTTATGAGACGAGAATGGCAGAAGGAATGGAAACTAATAAAACGCATGTACACATTGCAGCCGGTGCGATGGTTCATTCTGGATGTCAACCCGCCTGCTTCAGGAAGGCCACACAGTGGGGACGGCAGTCTCTGGGTGTCTGTGACGGCGTTTCCAGGAGACTAGCGTTTGTGCTGGCGGACTGGGTAAAGATGATTCCACTGAAGTGGCCTTAGGCATCATGCAATCCACTGAGGTCTCAGAGAGGACCAAAAGGCAGAGGAGGTGTGGATTCGCCATCTTCCTCCTGCTGGTGGACGTCAGACTTCATGGTTCTCCACCGTCAGAGCCCCAGTTCCTCTGGGACTCAGGCTCTGGACTAGGCCAGAACACCCCAGTGGCTTCCCCTGGTGCCTGGCTTGCAGATGGCAGGATGCAGGGATTCTCAGCTTCCATCATCGCAGAAACCATTTCCTAACAAAACCCCCTCTGGATTTATACCCTACATGTGCTGTTTCTCTAGCAAACACCACCACACCCAGCAGGGAAGAGAAGGCAGGACGATGCATCTGACCCAGCTGTGGGGCTGAGACAGTGCCAGGGGCACCCTCTAGGTCCAAACGTCACTGTCACAGGAACTCCCCTGGCTTGAAGAACAGGAGCCCTGAATCCTCCTGCATAGGGTTGTCCTAGCTGCCAACTTACCTTTCACTGTTTTGCAATTTTTCTTATTGAATACACATTCTATAACATTAACCATTTAAAAAATATTAACAGACCTGAAAAGCCTCATAAGCACTAACACAGCTGTAATGGGAAACCTCAATACCCCACTGTCACAAATAGATCAACTAGACAAAAAAATCAACAATGAAATACTAGAATTAAACCAAACTTTTGAACAAATGGGCTTAGTAGAGTGTCCCACCCGCAACATCAGAATACACATTCTTAGGTGCACATGGAATAGTCTCTAAAACAGACCACAGAGTAGCTCGTAGAATATGCTTAAGTAAATGCAAAAAAGAAAATGAAATAATCTCATGCATATTATCAGACCATACTGCACTGAAACTGGAAATCAATAGCAAAAGAAAACACAAGAACATCATAAAAAATGGAAATTAAATAACACCCTCCTGAACAACCAGTGGGTCGTAGATGAAATTAAAGAAGAAATTAGACAATGTCTACAATTAAACAATAATGGCAGTACAACATATCGGAACTTATGGGATGCAGTGAAAGCAGTCCTACGAAGGAAATTTACAGCAGTGAATTCCCATATCAGAAAAATAGAGCAGGCTCAAATAACCCAATGTCAAACCTCAACCTTCTAGAAAAAGAAAAGCAAGTCAAGCCCAAAGCTCACATGAGATTATAAAAATCAGAGCAGAAATTAGTGCAATGGAGACTAAAAAAAATACAAAGAATCACTGAATCAAAGAGTTGGTTCTTTGAAAGATTAAATAAAATCAACACACCTTTAGCAGACCTTATCAAAAGAAGAAAAGACTCAATGCAATTAGGAATAAAGAGGGTGAAATCACAACAGATCCTGCAGAGATCCAAAAGATTACCAATACCTACTTCGAGAACTTGTATTCTAACAAGATGGAAAATACAGAAGAAATGGACAGATTCCTAGATGCATATGAATTACCAAAACTGATGATATAGAAAGAAGATATAGAAATTCCAAATAAACCAATTTCAGCAAATGAAATTGAAGATGTAGTTATGATCCAACCAACCAACAAAAACCCAGGCTCTGATGGATTCACAGCTGAATTCTACAAGAAATTTAGAGAAGATATAATGCTGCTGCTCCAACTGTTTAATAAAATTGAAAGGGAAGTAATTCTCCCAGATTCATTCCTAGAAGCAAGCATTACTCTGATTCCAAAGCCAGAGAAGATCTAGCAGAAGAGGAGAATTATAGGCCAATTTTCCCCATGAACATAGATGCAAAAATTCTCAATAAGATATTGGCAAACAGAATGCAGCAAATCATCAAGAAGGTTATACACCATGACCAAGTTGGATTTGTCCCAGAGATACAGGGATGGTTTAACATCTGCAAATCAATAAATGTAACACACTATATTAACAAAGCCAAGTACAAAAACTATATAATCATCTCAATACATGCAGAAAAAGCATTTCATAAGGTCCAGTATTCACTCATGATAAAAAACCTACAGAAAATTGGTATAGAAGGTCTTTATCTGATAAAATCCATCTACAACAAACAGCCAACATCATACAAAATGGACAAAAACTGAAAGCTTTTGTTCTAAAATCAGGAACAAGATAAGGATGTCCACTGTCACCACTCTTGTTCAATGCAGTTCTGGAGACACAAAGAAAAGGAATAAGGAGAGGAAAGGAAGAAGTTAAATTACCATTATTTGCACATAACATGATACTCTACATAGAAGAGCATAAAAAGTCCACCAAAAGACTTCTAGATTTGATAACTAAATTGAGTGGCATAGCTGAACACAAAGTCAACACTCAAGAAACAACAGCCTTCCTGTTCTCAAATAACAGACTCATGGAGACAGAAATTAGAGAAATAATCTTTTTCATAATAGCAACCAAAAAATGAAATACCTAGGAATAATGTAACAAAGGAAATAAAAGGCCTCTACATTGAAAACTACAGTACCTTGAAAAAGGAGAGTGAACAGGATACCAGAAAATGGAAAGATATCCCTTCTTCTTGGACAGGAAAAACCAATATAGTGAAAATGGCCATACTTAAAAAAAGTATTGGGCTGGGGATTTAGCTCAGTGGTTCCGCTGCCTGCCTTGTAAGTGCAAAGACCCACGTTCGATCCCCAGAACCCCCCCCCAAAAATTGTTATACAGATTTAATGCACTCCCAATCAAAATCCCAACAGGATATCTCACAGGATTATAAAAATCAATCCAGAACAGACCTAGAAGAGCAAAGACAATTCTGGCAACACAGGCAAAGCAGGGGTTATCACAACATCCGACTTGAAATTATATTATAAAGCTATGGTGATAAAAACAGCATGGCACTGGCAAGAGAAGAGACCTGAAGATCAATGGAACAGACTAGAGGATACAGAAACAACTCCAAACACATTCAACCACCTTATCTTTGACAAAAGAGCCAAACACCTTCAATGGAAGAAAGACAGCCTCTCTAATAAATGGTGTGCTGGAAAAACTGGCTTTCTACATGCCAAAGATTGAAACTAGGTACTAACGTAAAATCAGAATGTATCAAAGATCTCCATACAGGTCCCGAACAGCAGTTTTACTGTCTCTATGAAGTGACTGCTCCAGCTGCCTCATACAGACGAATCATACAGTGTGTAATCCTTTCATCATTGGCTTGCTTCACTTACGTACTCAAGGTTCGTCTGGGTTGTGTCAGAACCCCTGTTGGAGGCTGAACTGTACTTCACTGTGTGTCTCTGTACTACATGTTATTTATCTGTCCACTCACTGATGGCTATTTGGATGGTCTTGGCATCCTTGTTGAAAATCATTTGATTGTATAGCTGAAGGTTTATTTCTGGGCTCTCTATTCTGTCTAAATGTCTATCTTTATCTTGGCACCATGTTTTGATGACTGTAGATTTGTAGTCTAAAGTTTTGAAATCAGGAACTATAAGACCTCCAAGTTTGTTCTCTTTTTGCACAATTATTTTGAGGATATTTTAACATTTAAAGTTCATAATTCAGTTTTAGTTAGTTCTTGTAACAAGCTTGAGATCCAGTATTGAGGTTTCTTTGTTTCTTTTGCCTATGGATGTAAGTTGTTGAGCACCATACTTTTGGAAAGGGAGTCCTTCCTCCATTGAATTATTTTTGCATCTTTGTGAGAAATGAGTCGAGGCTATTTGGATCTACTTGTGGTCCCCCTGATTTGTGTGTCTAACTTAGGGCAATACCATACAGTAGACATACAGGAAGACTTAATATTAGGTAAAGTGATTCTTCCCACTTGTCAAGATCACTTTAGCTATTCTAAGGCCTGTGCCTTTTCATGAAAGCTGCATAATATGCTTGTATACTCTTATGTTTGTTAACCACTTACCAGTCCAATTATTTAAATACAGGATGACCAAAAATTGCATATTTTCATTAGTTTTTATAAGACAATATAAAACGAAATATAAAAACAATTTTGTCAAATTTATTCAGTAGAGAATTGACCGGTTAAAATGACAACTGCTCAAGTAATGCCTGGGCTATTCAGTACATAAATAAATGCTATGCCCGAGTGATGCCCAGGATACTGTCAAGTAGTTAAAATTCTGCTGGAATTTTTATGGGCATTGAATTCACTCTATACTTCAATTTGGGGGAATTCACATCTGTACTATGTTGACTCTTCTAGTCAAAGAACATTGGATTCCTCTCCATTTTTATTTAGATTTATGATTTATCAGCACTTTATAATTTTCAGCATAAATTATAATTTATGGATCTTGTGTCGTGACAAATGTGTAAGTTTTTTAGTATTTTCTTTGAAGTGATTGTAAATGATATTGTTTTACTTCGTGTTAATTTCTTTTTAAACAGGGTCTATGTAATTCAGGATGGCTTTGAGCTCATTATGTAGCCCAGACTGGCCTCAAACTCATGGCGATCCTCCTGCCTCAGTCTCCCAAGTGCTGGGACGTGTACCATCATGCCCAGCCTACTTCATGTTAATACTATTTAAAATATTCATATTAATATTGTAGTTTACTTAACATTAATAAGTATATATTAAGTAAACTTAATATAATTTATTAGAAGATAGAAAGTTAGCAAATGGAAATATTTGTATATTAATCTTATAAGCTTACGTACTTAGGTGCACTGACTTTGAACTCATTTATTCGTTTCTGGGACTTTTTGTTTTCCTTCTTTTTGAGACAGGGCCTCACTATGTAGTTCAGACTGCTCTGGAGCTCACTGTGTAGCCCAGGCTGGTCTCGAACTCACGGCAATCCTCCTGCCTCAGCCTCCTATATGCTGGGATTACAGACGTGCACCACCATGCCCAGCTAGTTTCTGGGACTTTTTAAAAAACTTCTGGGATTACTTCATCTTTGCTCCTGAAAG